CACGGTTTTAGGGTATTTCGCTGAAAATTGACGTAAAAATTTGAGAAATAGTCATGGCAACATATTTTTGGCAGCACTATAGTTCACAAATCATTTTGTTTTTCGTCAGCACTATAGTTCACAAACTTCAACTCCATTTCGGTGCTAACGCATTGGTACCCCTTATACGTGCAGAGAGGTAGTAAGACGCAGCTAACTCGATCGGGTATGTGCTCGATTAACTGCTTTTGTTTGTTCTTGAACTGCCTTAGCTGACACACCCTGTGGTATACAGCCGCGCTATGCATCTGAATCACCCCGCAATCTCAAATGACTTGTGTATAATTTTTTCGAGGCAGACTTGCCTCATGGAATACGTTGAAACAAGCGGTCTCATGGATTTCTGTTCGATGTTGGCCTCAAGATCACGGGAGAGGCGATGAATGCATCATCACAAGCTCCTGAATCGATGATGACGAAACGACTACAGTCAGTTTATTTCTGATCTTACAATAGGCGACGGTGAGCTCGTGCCCACACTCCCGCTGTTTTGTCTAGTCTACTCCAGCTTCCTTTCCACGTTTGAGCCTGAAGTCTTCACTGTGGCGTCGTTTGCTGTTTTGCTTGATGCGACATGTTCGCTCTCTTTGTTCGGGATAGAAAGTGACAAATCACTAGTAATCGTTTGAAGACTGTGCTGCATGTCACAGTCGAAATCTGTGATTTATTCGACGGGTTTTGATCGTTTCGATGGTTGTGCGCCGGACGAAAACGTCTCCGGTTACAAACTTCTAGCTTAATTTGAGCGTATGAGTCATCTTAGCTATGCTTTTTGCAATCAGCATGATATGAGGGGAACATGTGAGATGTGTATCAATTGTTGTACATGTGTTTGCTTCGCTACGTCAATTGTATGTGATGAAAAGCCTAAAAAAAGTCAAGGCGTGAGCTATTAGCCATTCGCGAAGAGCTTTTATTGAAAGTTTTACAATGGATCACATTTCAAAGTAAAATAGTTTAAAGTCAAAGGTATCCAAATCTTACCAAGGTAACATCGTAACGCTTGTTGCGTCAAAGACGCTATCTTGATAAATCTCTGAGCTGGACAAAGCGTAAGTTCTAACATCTTCTACCTTGCTCAATTTTCGTTTCTGCATGATCGCCTCCTCAGCGCTTATAACTGTCATTTCAGACAGTTCAATGCATCGTTCCGTGAGTGGAAATGTTTTCAGCATCCTGCACCACCTACATTATATTACAAGAATGCTCTAATTACGGCCGCAAAACTTTTGCATGAGCTTTGATCCCTTCGAAGCGTTCTTAAAAAAACGTCCACTCTGTCGACTATTTATGCCTTTGCCTGACTCGGACAAATCTGTGCTGGTGGTAGCAACCTGCAACACATGTATCATAAGAAAACGATAAAACACTAATATACCAGCTCGCACCTGTCGTGCTCTTTTAGCATAATCCTGATTGATGCTGCTATGACGAGAAAGAGAGGAAGACAAGTTTCGAGATAGCATGATGCCGTGGTCGTGATCCCCATTCTTCTTGCGCTTAATTCCATGCTGCTCTTTATGCCGGTAACTTCGCTGGTCCTCTTGGCTCTCAGTCAGCATCATCGTCCAAAGCGCATTCCACTCGCCTTTAGCTTTGGACGCGTCCATCTCTTGGTCGTGAAACAGCGCCAGAATCTCGCGAAAGTCTTTTCTTTTCCTTAATTTGTTCAGGCTGGAATTGCCGGAAAGAGAAGCTTTACCTTTTATATTGTCTTGCGGAGGGGAAGGAGGTGGAGGAGGCGGAGGCAGCGGCGAGTCGAAGGCAGGCTCTGAGTCGATTCCATAATCTCGCGCAGAAAGAGCCATGTTAATACTGCGACGTATTTTTAGGTTTACTTATACAATTACAGTGATATACCTATTTTTGCATTCGTATATCGTCTGCATGGGCGGTCAAAGTATTTAGTTAACATATGAGTGGAGAAGGCGTAGGACTGTTATCATCTAGATACTGAGACATTGCAGTATTACAAGGCGATCCGCAACATATAGAGACAAAGTAGCAAAGCTCAAGCAATATTTACGTCGGCCACGACCTATTCAGCGTGTAAAACGGTGGGTGACAAGGGTAAAAACTAGTTTTGTAGGAAACAACTGAGAATGATTGTTCTTTTTGTCACCCTCAAAACGAGTCGGTCAACCAATCGACCGAACGACTTTGGTCAAGAAGGAGCGATACACGCCGCACACGTTCTGCACAGCCCCAGCGGACGCACTCTCCATTTACTAACTTGTTGATTTTCTTAAGCCCTTCGTGGACTGATACGAAAAATTACCCAAACGAACATGGCCAAGCGCATTCGAGCTACTAGGCAGGAAGCCTCCGCGCCCACATCAGCGGCCCTGTCGGACACAGTCGTGACGGCGGTTGGTGCTGCACTGAAGAGCAAGACATCGATACCTTCGAGTACGGAAGGGAAGCATACGATGCTGCCCGCCTTTTTATCTAAGACGTACGAAATATTTAGTATGCCAGAGTTTTCGCACGTCTGTGGCTGGAACGTAAACGGAGACACCATCATTGTGTCACAGCTCGAAACATTTGTTGCCATGGTTCTGCCACGCTTTTTTAAGCATCGCAATTTCCCATCGTTCGTGCGTCAGCTCAATCTCTATGGCTTTCACAAGACAGTGTTGGACTCAAAACGCCTTGAGTTTCAGCATCCGTATTTCAAGCGTGGTCGGCCTGACTTGTTACACCAAATCAAGCGCAAAGTCTCCAGTGGTAATAGTCACAACCAGCAGCTTGTGAACTCATCCGTTCAGGAAAGTGGCGCTTTTGGGCACCAAAATCGAATTAAAAGTCTTACGCATTTCATTTCATGGAACAGAACTCGCGTCTCGATGCCCACCGAGAGATCTCGGACACTCTGTTGCGTGAGATGAAAGATCTGCGTCAGCGTAGCGACGTCATGGAAAAGCGTCTTCGGGAGCTTGAGATTGACAATGCCGTACGAATAGGATTGTGTCGGACTATACATAAACTAACGCTTTTGTCATTGCAGATTGTGCGGAGTGACAATGTGAAGCTGTGGAAGCATCTTGAGCAAGCCAAAGACAAACAATTAATAATGCAGGAGAAGATGAAGAAAATCATGTGGATTCTATTTCAGATATATCGTGGGAAGCAACAGAACGTTCCAAAACTCTCTGGCAATGATACATCAGGCGCAGTAATCACCGAAGAGTACGTTTTGTAGACATGCACGCGACGATTTTGCGGAGTGATTTATTGGATTGATAGCTAACCACTTTGCTGCTGTATGGTCTTTTGTAATTCGTGCCCACTTCATGTCGGCTTTGAACTTTTTTTACCTTTTGGTAGCTACATCAACAGCAGCATGCTTGGTCCAAAGGAATTTCGTGACGTTTTAAGATTTTTGGCAATGGATGAACCTCCGTTGTTGTCCGGATCGACCGCCAATGTGACCACCTCAGCTCCTGGTTCGAGGAAGCGAAAATTTGTTGAGGTTCCTTCTGATGACGGGGATGACTTTCCATTTAAGTTAGGCAAGTGTTGAGTTTTGTCATCAGTTTTGGCGCCACCAGTATTTTTGACGCGTTGAGATGTTGCTGGTAGATGTCGACTCAACCTGTGTGGTCGGAATGCCCAGTACAATGGAAGAATCTAATCCGTTTGCTATGACTCTTCAGCAATCAAGTTCATCCTCTGTGATGAACGCAAGCAAGGAGCAGAACAACATACTGAGCATCTTTTCGCCTATTACCAGTGCACTAAACAGCAATATGCCTAACGTTGATACAAGTCTAACTGGACTCATAACGAATTCTACCTCGTATAGTGACTCTTCGCCGGTCTCCACAACACCGATTGTATCGTCGCCAGGTGGTTGTACATCAACCCCATCGGCATCGAGCGTATCTACGCCGACTATAGCGACACCCTACAAGCAATCACCAGCTACAGAAAGTGATAATGTGACTCAAAGTGAAATCAATTCAGTGTCGAATGGTACTTCAGCTATCGCGACGCCCGCTGCGAACACTCAGCTGGCTTTTTTGGATGATGAATTACCGTTGCTGCCCGACTCTGACAACTATAACTTTACTGACGGCGAACAGGTATTGGACGGTCTTGGTTGCGCCCATTGTTTTTAAAGAGTGTAATGGCGTGTTTTGATGTTCTGTGCCTTAGCAGGCAGTAATGAAAAAACTCGAGGATTTTGAAACGTCCCTTCTCGACGAATACGATGTTAGTTGCCTTGACACTTTACTTCAACAATTGAAAAACCCTAATGGAGACAAAGCGGTCGGAATATTGGTGGCCGATGCAGAGAAAGTTGTTGTAGGTCCGACAAACACATTGTCAGATGATGCGTGATGCGGCATCGTGTTGGTTGAACAGTGTGGGAGCTGGTTTTAAATGTTCACATCTTGAAGTTACATTTTACGTACATTCTAAGCACGATACGTGAATTCTAGCTGAAGTCGTGCATTTCTATTCCGAATTGACGGGTTAGAAATAATAAGTCAAGAAAAAAGACGATGCTGAGTGATGAAGGCAGAGCAGATTACGAGCGCAACATCGTGTTAAATGCTAAAAAGCACATTTGGCAATAGCGGACAAGCGCTTCGAAGCTGATTTCTTATTTATGATGAAACTAAGCAAACAACAGAAAAATTGATCAGTTGGATTGTGGAATCTTTTAACAGTGTAGCTAGCTTCTCCTTCTCTACGTGCTATCCACTTGACCTTCCAATTGACAACGCAGCCGTCGAATCTCATTGTCCTTACGACTGAGCTCCAGTTGTGCTGTTGCGAAAAGCGCGGAAATGTTCATCTCGAGCTGTTTATTGGCAGCACCAAGCTGACGATTATGCTCCTGCAGCTGCGCTATTTCATCACGCAGTCGCTTGTTATCTTGCTCGAATTTAACTTTAAGGTCTAAAGCTTCCTTCTTCTCCAAGGCGTTGGTGGATGTGTCCAAACCCGCATACAAATCTTCCATAGTCGATCGATTATGCGGCATTTTTTTATTTCGGAAATAAACGCAGGACTGAAGGTGCGGCGGCCACGTATCTGGGCCGACGGACATTACGACGGCACGAAGTAAGACTGTGCACTTAAAGTTTCTACATGCAGCGCCTTCAGGATCGGCGCCTTACTGACGCAGCTCAGAAAAATCTTGTGGACTGCATATACTATGTGGGCTCGAATGTGCAAAGATGAGCCATGATGCCACTACCTTCCAGGCCGTGAAGGATGGTCTATCCATGCCATTTGATGTATCGAGAACTAACCAACAAAAGCAATTACTGAAGGAGCTCAATGCCTTTGTAGGTTAGCGACCATCAACCAAACATGTGAGCCACAGATCGAGTTAAGTGTCATGGACATAGACGAAGATGGACGCTTATTTCTCATGCAGGTGAGGCGACGAATATTTTTGTAAGTAAACAAGAAGAGAGAGTTCAAGCTCATCTAAAAACCCTGAGAAATGTGTCGATACTACCAAAAAAGACAAAATTTCACTGAAAATGGATTAATTGTTCAACTAGATAACTGAAGTCCAATTACCTTTATCCGAATACGATACCCACCACTATATTTAATTAAAAAGGACTGGCGGCACCACCTTGCTTCGCGCGACTCTCGGTCCATGCTTTCGCGATAGTCCGCTTCATTTCATCGTCACCTTCATCGTACATATTCTGACGGAAATAATTGCGTCAGATCGCAGGTCAAATTTAGAGCTTGATAAGTCAAGTTTAAAAATCGCACCTTCATCATGTCCATGATGCCTGCAGCGGGGTCGTTCGTATCAGGCTTACCAGTCTTGAGAGGATTCTTTGCAGTGAGGCTCATCCATGTATTGTTCTTGTCAGCTTTATGAAGCGAGATAGTGACACGATTTTTTTTAATGCGATACGAGCTCTTGGCAGGGTCGATCTCTTTATCCAGATGCTGCTTGACCAACCTATCAAAAGTTGACCATCATCACTCAGATTTCTGATTAGCTAGATCATACACCGTTTCACGTACCGATAGTTCTTGTTTCCCAAACCAATGATCTGCGAAAGAACAAATGATTATAAAATCGTTAGATGCACTCGACAAACATGCCCAGATCATACATACCTTTAAGTCAAATGACGACGGAGTGAAATCGCACGTCACGTTTTCTTTGGGCAGATCGCCGACACCATCGATGCCTGACATGATGTAGACGGCTACTTTCTCTTTGCCGTATCCATCATCCTCCCAGCCAAAGCGACTTATCTCCGTGAAAGTCGTTGAATCGTTCACTGCTGGACGCGTCACTGCCACTAAAACAGGCTGCGGCCCTCCCTCCGTAGGCTCAATATCCATGGGCTGAGCCTGCTGTAATGTTGCATTTAACGCATTCTGTTTGCGTTGGAGCAGTTGTTCCAGATCACGGCGGTTGCCAATTGTTGTGGTCTGTGCTAAAAGCACTTTAAGCTCAGAAACTTCAGACGCTAGCGATTCTGAGACGTTTGCCATGATGTAGCTGTTGCTGATCTGTTAATGGCGCGAGTTGTGATGAAGATTAATAATTTTCTAGAACAATCTCGGCCAAACAAAAATTTAAGATTTTATTCTAGTAGATAGTTAGTTTGGTGCATGCCATATTTTTCTTTGAGCGACTTTCACCTTAGCCTTTGTGTGCGGTGGCGCTCATCCCTGTGTCGGAAAGTACTTCCTCTACTCTGTCATCGGTACTGCTGCAGCGCTGTTCCCCCAACAAGTGGCAAGTTGGATTTGTACTTATTTTAAGAACGCAGAGCATTTTAGCTTTCGAATTTCGTAATTTTTACATAGGATAAACACGATAACTGACACAGCAATACAAAGGTGCTGGCCAAAAATATGTAGCCATGACTAATTCTCAAATTTTACGTCAATTTTCAGCGAAATACCT